GAAATATCTTTAACATAATAAAAACTACATATAGGAATCTTAACAGTGACACTTTTAAGGCTGTTTGTGGAGAAGTGAACTTCCCCAAATGAGCTGAAACTACTAACGTGTGTCTTCTGATAAAGAAGGACGGTGTTAGGCAAACAAACCAAATTCATTATTAACCTTAATCAGAATTCTCTTATGTATTTATTTAATAAACACATACAATGTGCCAGGGCCCCAAAAGATAAAAAATGTCTAAGAAAGAGTTTTTGACTAAAAGAACTTTGTCTTTTATGAGCAAATAAAAATAATTATGTTCTTACACAGATAATACAAAGTGCCAGGCAATACAGAGAGGATGTAACTAAGCCTGTGTGGAGGCTGAAATGGGGAGAATCCAAAGGAAAAGCAAAGGTTCATAATTGAAGTATTATGTAAGCTGCATACTGAAAGATAAACTAAGGAAAAAATAGGGAGAGAGAAGGGCATTTTATCTGAACACTCGACACCAAAGAAAATAGTTCATGGAGAAGAATGAAAGAGTGAAAAAATATGAAGGTATGAATGAGGATGGCAAAATGAGAAAAAAACAGTCTTTAACATCTGTACCTGGAGAGTGTTTATAGAATGCCACAGTTGAATGGGACTCAGAGCTCTTCTAGACTAATCTCCTAAATTTATGGGTAAGCAAATTGAGTTGTAGGGAGAAAAAGTGACCTTAAATGTTTTCTCTACATTAAATGATACTTACGGATAACTTCTTCTTTGCTGTCTAACTCTTGTGTTAAAATAACTTCTCTGTAAAAGGAAATCAAATATATTAATAATAAATTTGAGTTAAATATTAACAAAGCACCTTAAAGAAAGACATGAAAAAAAAAAGTCTAACCAATTGATACTTACTTTGCATTAACAAGGATAATTAACATTAAGAAATAAATAAAAAATGGATCTGCTTGTTGTAGATATCCATCCCATATTGCCTGAGTGACTTCAATGGAACAGTAACATGCAAAAAGGCTTCCAAGCTGTAATCAGGAAATGAGAGACATAAACCATTGGAGTTGATTTGATCTCTTAAAGGAAATGAAAAAGTAACATTACATTACATTATTAACACCTGATATTTAACGTGTTACCTTACTTTTAGTGTATGAAATCCAAAGGCAAAACAGATTCAAGGGACGACATAGACAATTACTAACTGTGTGATTTAGGACACATTACTTAACCTCTTTAAAGTTTCATTTTTACTTCTTAAAAAAAAAAAAAAAGGAATACTACAATCCATTTTCTAATACTATTGTCAAAAGAGAGATAATTACCTAAAGTAACCAACCAGTACCTATCTCAGCCATAGCATAACTACCATGATTACTGACAGAGTTCTATAACAGTAAGTAGCATAATTATTATCAGTAACAGCACAGTGTTTAAATTAAAATGTAGCTGCAAAGATCAAACATGATAATTTAAGAGTACCTAATAAAATTTTAATGATAACACATGAATAAACATGAATTGCTCCCTGAAATTTACTTGTACATCATTTTAAAGAGATGAAATATTCATATCCTTTAAGAGATTTCAAGAGCTCTATGGCTTTCAAATAAAAGAGTTAATTCATAAGTTTCTATAGCCAGACTGTGTTTTAAATTGCACAAATTCAGTGAAATGTTTATATCATTCAACTGTCATTAAATACAAAAACAATTCCATCTCTACTTTTAAATTTAAAACACTGCTAATGGCCAAAGAGAGCTAATGGGAACACATACATTTCATGCATACTTTGTGCTAGGTACTAAACTACTGTCACATATTGTTTATTATTTTAATTCTCACAATGAGCCTGCAAAGTAGACATTTTTCTCCCTATTTTAGAAGGAAATAAATTTGAATTAAATTACTTTTTCAAGCTCACAGAGCTAGTGAATGGTTGTGTAGAGAGTAGGAAAAAAGCCTACACCAGCTAGGGCAACATAGCAAGACCCCCAACCTCTAAATTTAAAAAAATATTAGCTGGACATGGTGGTGTACACCTATAGTCCTAGCTACTCAGGAGGCTGAGGCAGGAGGATTGCTTAAGCCCCGAAGTTCAAGGCTGCAAGGCTATGGTGAGCTATGATTGTGCCGATGCACTCCAGCCTGGGCAACAGAGTTAAGACCTCATCTCAAAAAAAAAAACGGCAAAAGAAAAGGCCTTATGGCGGAGTCCAGCTGCAGCCCAGAGCTGGCTATGAATGCTTATCCATGGTGGTGGATATCATGAAAATTATGCCCAGACCTTTTTTCGCTCATCAGCTTTCATTAGTGTTTGTGTTTAATGTATGGCCCAAAACAACTCCTAGATAACCATTCATAACCAGCCATGGGCTGCTGTTGGACTCCCCCAGCAATGTAATCACCATTACACCTGACCACAGGCTTTTAAAGTACATAACAGTACAAATGTTTTTTGTTGTGTAAAAAATTACTACTACAAATACAGATTAGAAGTAGTAAAATCACACAGAATAGTAATACATAGCCATTTCTAAAGTCACTTAGCTAAACTAAAGCTACCAAGTTACCACTGACTACATTGGTTTAGTTATAGGTTCTTGATATTTAAGAATTAAATGTTTGATCTCATGGTTGGAAAAAAAACCCTCTATTTTATCAACATGATAATATTAGCAGGAATGAACTATTTGGCACAACAGCTGAAAAAAAATCAGTTGTTTTAGTACTCAGGGTTCAGGCAACTAAAATGACATTTCATAGACAGAAAGACCTCTACTTATTATTAAAATGCTTAAGAGAAATAGTTTATTACTTTAACATAAATAAGTGGATTTATTGGCAACATATGAATCTCAAGAGAAGCTACAATTTTATAGGTATTTTAACTCAAAATTACAAGACTGGGGCCAAGAGGAAAGTGTAATAGGCTACTGAGGTTCAAAATGAGCCCAGAACTGAAATAAGTCAGAATTCTGTAATCACCACTTCTTCATTGCTACCTCATCCCATCATCCTCTGAGACAGGTACAGGGCCATTATTATTTCCATTTTATAGATGAGAAAATTAAAGCGCAGAGCTATCTTAGATCACACAGTTAATAACTGGCAGAAAAGGATTCTTACTGAAGCAAAGTTATGTTAAGATATAATCAAAGAATTTTTTTTTTTTTGAGACAGAGCCTCAAGCTGTCACCCTGGGTAGAGTGCCGTCATCACAACTCACAGAAACCTCCAACTCCTGGTCTTAAGCAATTCTCTTGCCTCTGCTCTGCTTAAGTAGTTGGGACTACAGGCGCCTGCCGCAATGCCTGGCTATTTTTTTTTTGGTTGCAGATGTCGTTGTTTGGCAGGTCCGGGCTGGATTCGAACCCACCAGCTCAGGTATGTAGGTGGCTGGTGCCTTAGCCTCTTGAGCCACAGGAGCCGAGCCCAAAGAATATTTTAAAATTTTGAATATAAAGTCATCTAGCACTTAATGTTTTAGAAAGATCTTCAAGTAAGCCTAGAAGAACAGTTCACAAAGGGTGATCTGAAGACTCCCATTTATAGTAGTTTGTGAGGTCAAAATTATTTTTCTAGGCTCGGCGCCCATAGCTCAGTGAGTAAGACACTAGCTACAATACACTGAGGCTGGCAGGTTCAAACCCAGTCCTAGCCTGCCAAACAACAATGACAACTACAACAAAAAAACAGCCAGGTGTCGTGGCAGGCACATGTAGTCCCAGTGTTGTTGTGAGCTGTGATACCACAGCACTCTACCCAGGGCGACAGCTTGAGACTCTGTCTCAAAAAAAAAAAAGTTTGAGGTCGCTGTGAGCTATGATGCCATGCAACACTCTTCTGAATGTGACAAAGTGAGACTCTGTCTCCAAAAATATATATAAAATAATAAAAATAAAGAAGCAGATAAGAGAATATACCTGTCTTTTGATTTAGCCAAACATTAATGAGATTTGCAAAAATGTAAAACAATGCCACTATTCTTACTAATTTTCTTTTGGAAAATATAGTTCTTTTGCTTTTAAAATAGACTATCATTACTATTAGATTTATCATTACTTATAAATAAATAAATATTTCAATTGCTTAGTTTTAATTTCTAATCAACTTAATCCATATAAATAATGGATCATCAATAATTAAATTTATTTAAAAGTATAAGAAGTACTGAAAGGTTTCAAAGGATTGAAAACCACTAGTAAGACTTTCCACTGAAAACAAAAATGGAGAATGACAGAGCACTGAATTGTACTTTACATTCTTTTGTATCGACCATTTGATAATCTTAAGTCATTTTCTTCATGATTATATGCCAATTCTTATATACAACATCAACAATTAAAACACAAAGTTCAAAACTGAACTGATATGTTTACATATATTACATGCACATACTGACAATTACATATATGTATATATAACTAGTATATATTTGATATTAGCTATAACTAATATGTTAACATATATTTATTAATATAACTAATATTAACTATACACAACTATATGTATAACTAATTTATATGCAGCTAACATACTATTTAACATTATATATGTTATAATACTATAATATTAATATGTCACTGTAACTATATATAACTAATACTAAGTATATATTACTTATATTTATATATATAAAAGGTTAAACTTCATATCAAATTATCTGTATTGACTAAGGGAAGAGTAAGAAAAGTTATTTTGAAATGCCAATAATTTTACTCCTTTGGTTTACGTAATAATGGCATATAATTTAGTACTTTTCTTTCTCTCTCTCAGGAAAAAAACACCTAACTATATTTTTATATAAATCTATTTTTCATTAAATGTTCCTACTTTCACTTTATTACCCAGTTGAGTGCATAGGAGTCTGGAGTAATTTTCTTTGTATCAAGAAAAGAACAAAGCTCAGGTTCATGGTATTGGATGAGTAATCGGAAGAGATGAAATGGTCTCCCCTTCAGGGAACAATCCCTAGAAAACAAGAGAAGTAAAGGCTTTTTGCATTAGTAGGTGAGAAATGATCACCATAGTAATCAATCCTCCTGCAACACCTACCTGCTCTTCCCAGTCCCCAGAACACTACAGCGTTCACAGCAAGCCTACTGACAGTGCCTGGCAGAGCTCTCTTTCTAACATCTTTCAATATCCCTGACTTGACAAACGTTTGTAGAAATAGGAGGTCTACAGCCACTCTAGGGAGACTCTTTCCAGGTAAACCCAGCCAAGAGGACTGCAAGGATCACTGAAAAAAACATTTAGGTTATTTTTATAGGGTTGGGATCCCAAAAGGAGAGCTGGAGAGTCCTGAAGAAGTCCGGCCCCCTCCTCTGCCAAGTAAGAGGAAACTCCTAGGAAGACTTCTAGTTAGTGCCACAGTTTATATGCTCAATTAGGAATGTCCTTTAGCAAAGTTTCAAGTCTAAAATGGCCACAGATGAACATTTTAGAATAGTAGCCTTAGAAACTATGGAAGTGGCCTCAGTATCAGGTGCTCACATTAAATTCTAGGAAGTGCCAAATACTGACTTTGTTGAATAACTGTCCTACTTCAAAGAGTTATGTGAGATAAAAATGGGAAAGCTAAACGTGAATATTGTTTTAAAGTAGAGAGCACCAAATATGTGAACAATGTACGGAAAGTGTCCAGCCATATAATATGAAAAATAGAGACATACATGGCAAGATACTTTTGGGCAGCCCTCATATATGCTGTAATTTATATACACACATACACACATACACACACACATATATGTATTTTTTTAAATGCTTTTTTAAAATTTTATTTACTTAGAGACAGGATGTTACTCTGTCACCCAGGCTATAACACAGTGACATGATTATAGCTCACTACAGCCTCAAACTCCTGGGTTCAAGAAATTCTCCCACCTTAGCCTCTCTATCAGCTAGGAATACAAGTGCATGCCACCACATCTGGTTAATTTTTTCTTTCTTTTTTATTTATTTTTTTTTTAGAAACGAGATCTCACTATGTTTCCCAAGCTGGTCTCAAACTCCTTGCCTCAGGCAATCCCTGCCTTGGCCTCTCAAAGTGCTAGGATTACAGGCATCAGCCACCATGCCCACCTTATTCCTTTTTTTTTTTAAAAACAAACATCACATTTCACTGCATATACTTCAAAAAGAGAAGTAATTATAAAAGGCCTAGAGATGCACTCTTGATCATAGATGCCCTGAAGTTTCTACCCATTATTTCAGGAAGTATCTCGGCTTACTCAGCTTTAAGGTTCCTCTGCCAGGAGTCACAATAGCTACTCACAGCCCTGATTTGAAAGGCACTGTCCCCACACCCAGATAACTAAGCACATGAGCCCAAAGAAGACAATCCCTTGGAGCAAGTCCAGATGTGGTTTACTCCTCAGGAAACACAGTTGTTTCCTCCTTCCATTCTCAGTCTCTGACTTTAAACTCAGTAACCTTACCTCCTAACTCCCACATAGGCAGCATTCTTAGAAAATCTTTCAAGCCTAGAGGACTTGTTAGATACCATTATATTCACAATAATTCATTTTAGTGTGTTCATGTTTGTAATACCTCAAAACTGAACTGTGTTTTGAGGTATTACAAAAAGACTCTCTCAAAAGATTAGATTTTTGGTAGTATGATTTTATTGGACATAGGGAAATTGTTACTTTATAACTACAGTTACAAATAAAAGGCAATACTGCAGTTACTTATATACAGTTTGTTTGGGTTAAAATATGATACTACGATGAACAAGGTGATGACTAATTCAATCTTCACTTGAACTAACAGGCTTCACTAATTTTTCAGCCACTAATTATAAACGTTACTGTATTCAGCTTTTGTACTAAGATACATTCTACCAGTCACATAGGATGTAGGCAAAAATGTGTGACAAATCAGCAAAAACTTAATAACTGCTCAAAAAACAGGCCATCATAATAAAAATAATTATTGAAGAAATACTATGTGCTAGATACTGTAATAAGCATTTTATAAAAGTTGTTTTACTCTATCTTCACAAACAAGCCCATGAAATACGTGTGTGTACATATTTATATTTATACCTGTATATCCATTTTATAGATGAGAAAACTGAGGCTTAATTGAGATCAAGTAGCTCACCAAAGGTCACATAGGAAAGAAGTGATAGACCTAAGAACTGTACGCAGCAACTAGGCATTAAGGCATTATGCCAATACTAACCCCTTTCATGTATGTAATTTGATATTTCAACTAGAGGTACTTTTGCAGAGGTACAATCTCTGAAAAAAAACAACTGTAAAGAAAATGCAATAAGGTAAAGGGCTTCACGTAAAAAGTTAACAAAATGAATGTCACAGTTTTAACATTAAAGAAAGCATTGATAAAAAATGCTTTTAAATATTATTTAAAGAGAATGATGAAAATAATTTCTACAAATCTAAGATCTGAGGCCAATGCTAGGATTTGGTATGATTCTCAATCTATCTTTTGAATAGTAAGTAATAATTTTATGTTACTCTCAATTGCAAGGCAATGTGCTCAATAGCAGTCTACCCATCTTGTATCTAAATCTGTAAGAAGATATGTTAAAATGGAGTTCTTCTAGCAGCATTCTGTGGAGTTCAGTGTTCTTTCCAGGGGCATTAATGCTGACCCTAGCTGGAGTGCTGTGTTACACGTGGAACTCATAGAAACAGTAACCGGACAAGACAGCATGTAACACAACTCAACAAAAGCCCTTCCCTTTACTCCTAACTACCACTACCACCATTCTCTAGAATGAGACCAAGCTGGGACATCATATCCCTTGCTACTGCTAGCTCTGTTACAGTGAGAAGTGACCATGAGAAGTGTTGAAATACACACAAGGAGAATGAAACCTAAATGTGAATTTCAATCTCAGTTCTGCAATGATCTCAGTCTTTTCTCCTGGCATCTCTGAGTCTATTTTCCTTACATAAAGTAGTATGTTGTCAAAGTAACACAGAGGTTCTCCACCCTGGTGTACATAATAACACCTGGGGAGCTTTGAAAAAATACCTACCCCCTACTCAGTCCACTTTGATTTGAAATTCCTGGGATCAGTATGTTTTAAAAGTTCTTTGGCTAAAGAGACATATCTCCAAAGAAAAACCACAAACTGCCAATAAACACATGAAAAGATGCCCAGTATCACTAGATATCAAAGAGATGCAAGTCAAAAACTACAATGAGATATCACTTCACATCTACTAGGATGGTTATAATCAAAAAGACAAATATTGGTGAGAAGTGAAGAAACTAGGATCTCCATTCTCTGTTCATGAGCACAGAAAATATAGCCGCTTTGGGAAAGTCTGGCCATTCCTCACAAGGTTAAGCATAGAATAGTATGATCCAGAAACTCCATGCCTATTAGGCACATACCCCAGAGAAATGAAAATGTATGTCCACACAAAAACTTATACACAAATGCTCACAACAGCATATTCATACTTGGCAAAAGGGAAAACAACCCAAATGTCCATCAGCTGATGAATGGGTAAATAAAATGTGGTACATAAATAAAATGAAATATTTGGCAAAAAGAAAAGAAATTCTGATATGGCCACAATATGGATTACACTTAAAAGGTAGTGACAAAAAAAGTATATGGTTCCATTAATATGAAATGTCCAGAATAGGGAGAGCCATAGAAATAGAATAGTGGTTGTCTAGGGCCAGAAGTACTGGGGAAAATGAACAGTTAACTAATGATGGGTATGGAGTTTCTTTTTGGATGAAAATGTTCTAAAATTGACCATGGTATGGCTGTACAACTCTGTGACTATACTAAAAATCAGTGAACTGTGCACATTAAAAAGATAAATTTTACAGTAGACGAATGATAACTTTAATAAAGTTGTTATTTTTTAAAAGAAAAAGAAATAAAGAAAAAGTACTTCAGTTGATTCTAACCAGCAACCAGAGTGAAGAATCATAATAGCAAAGCACTGATTATCCAACCAAAATTAAGTTCAAATCCTGATGCAGGCAGAGGGCACCTATAGCTCAGTGGGTAGGGAGCTGGCCACATACACTGAGGCTGGTGGGTTTGAACCCAGCCAGGCCAGCTAAAACAACAATGACAATTGCAACAACAAAAAGATAGCCGGGCATTGTGGCAGGTGCCTATAGTCCCAGCTGGGAGGCTGAGGCAAGAGAATTGCTTAAGCTAAGCCCAAGAGTTTTAAGTTGCTGTGAGCTGTGACACCACAGCACTCTACCCAGGGCAACAACCTGAGGCTCTGTCTCAAAAACAAAAAAATTCTGATGCAGTCACACACCAGAAGTTTAATCCTGGAAAAGTTATTTTATCTTTTCTTTGCTCGGTTTCTATAGCTATAAATAAATCAGCTACATTATAGTGATCACTGTTTAAATGAGAAAAAATATAAAACACTTATGCCTAATATAGTGGGGTATCACATAGAAAGTAATAAAAAATGGCAGTCAGCTAACTATCAAGGTCCAGAATAGCAGTTTGCTACCTTGGCTGCACAATGGAATTAATTAATTGAGAAGCACTAAACAAACTGATGCCATAAACAAGAAATTTTTATTTAATTAGTCGGGTATGCAAACAGAGATTAGGCTTTTTAAGAGCTTCCCCAATGATTCTAATGTGCATCCAAGGTTGCACAGCTAAGCTACAGATCTAGAGAAAGTCTCAGGTTTCTTTTGGCTCTAAAACTCTATCTGATCCATAACAATAAAACTATAACAATTCTTTCTGACCTCGTATGTGCCCCTCACGACCATGACCCTTCACAACAATCACCTGGGCAAGTGCAACTGATGCTCCCGACCTTCAGGATAAGTTATGTCATCTCCACTATACACTCCCATAGCATTCTAAATTTTACCTTCTTAACACTCAGCACACTTTAATTTACTTGTTCATGAAATTTTGTTCCATTTACTTGCTGAATGCCTGTTTTTAGGATTACACTGTAAACTCTAACACCAACACTCAAAAAATTTTAACTTTTTACTTAGAGACTATAATTTTATTCTTATATGTTAAGAAACTGAAATAGCGGCTCAGCACCTGTAGTACAGTGGTTATGGCACCAGCCACATACACCAAGTGTGGTGGTTCAAACCTGGACCAGGCCAGCTAAACAATGACAACTGCAACAAAAAATAGCCAGGCGTTGTGACAGGTGCCTGTAGTCCCAGCTACTTGGAGGCTGAGGCAAGAAAATAGCTTAAGCCCAAGAGTTTGAGGTTGCTGTGAGCTGTGATACCATGGTACTCTACAAAGGCAGCAGATTCTGTCTCAAAACAAACAAACAAACAAACAAACAGAAACTGAAATAGGTATACCACCTAATGAACTTGAAGGGTTATGTATATAAAGTCTAGAAACATAAATTCCTTTTATAAAATAAATTTCTTGTGTATATTTAAAAAATATACAACATGATGTGATAAGAAACATATGTAATAAAATGGTTATACAGTACAACAAAATTTAACAAATCCATCATTTCATATAGCTACCTATCCCCCTCCCCAGGGCAAAAACAGCTATAATCCACTCAGTTAGCAAAAATCCTTAACATAATACACTATTATTAACTACCATTCTCAAGTCCTATATTAGATCTTTTGACTAGTTCGTTCTACTGCTACTTTGTATCTTGTGACTGACACCTTCCCATTTCCTCCCTTGACAACAGTCCTGGCAACCACTGTGGTAGAAGTAAAATTCTTAACCAAAGAATCCTTTTAAAAATGTTTATAACCACAAAAATAAAGTCAAATAACAACTATGGCTCAGGCTTGGCGCCTGTGGCTCAAGTGGCTAAGGAGCCAGCCACATACACCCAAGGTGGCAGGTTCGAATCCAGCCCAGGCCTGCCAAACAACAATGACGGCCGCAACCAAAAAATGGCTGGGCGTTGTGGCGGGCGCCTATGGTCCCAGCTACTTGGGAGGCAGAGGCAGGAGACTCGCTTGAGCCCAGGAGTAGGAGGTTGCTGTGAGCTGTGATGTCACAGCGCTCTACCCAGGGGGATAGCTTGAGGCTCTGTCTAAAAAAAAAAAAAAAAAAAAAAACTATGGCTCAAACAACCTTAAAAATTATTTGAGCCTTTTACTTCACCACCAAAGTAAATCTAAAACTTTATAGTTCACAGCAACCTAGACTGCTATTTGCTTTAAAAAAACTATAATAACTAAATAATATCTTACCTGGGAATGTACTTATTCATGATAGCATAAAAGCAGTTGTATAAATCACTGCGTGGCAGTTGAAGATGCACCAATGGTTTGAGTAAATGTATCCAGCTAAGGGATGTGCTATATTTAATGTTACGTGATTTACAATAAAAGGTGATTACAGATTCAATATCCAAAAGTATTTCTGCTGCCTTTTCCTCTGGCACTGAAAGCTGGTCTAGAAAATAAATATCAAAATATAAAGTTACCAAGGGCATGTTAGAAGCTCAGTTATCTGACATACACTTGTTTACAAATATACACTGTACCTAGTGCATTTAGAGTATGACAAAAGCAAAGTAAAACTAAACAAAAGTGACTTTCCCTTAAACAATCATTGGTTCATAGATCTAAAACCCAAGGAAAAATATAATCAAATCACTTTATAATACTCCTGTTTTTAACTTTAAGCAGGGTAGTTGTTAAAAGAAACTTAAGAATAGCAATCACTTTCACTTAAGAATATTTCATCATTTAGAAGTGAAAGAAACAGAAGACTTCCATATACTTAGTATTGACTATATGCTGGCAGTAGATAATATTCAGATTCTATATATGTTAAACATAAGAATGGCCAATCTGAAGTACGAGGTAGGCAAAGATAGAGATAACCCATATTCCTGGAAACCAAAAGTATTTTCTGGACAGATCATCATCTACCCCATGATGGGTAACTGGCAATGTAATTTTAACAAGGGAAGAGAAAAGAATTTATTTTTCCACCACCAAATTCCCTTCCTTTTGCCCATACCAGCAATAATGTTTCTGGTGTGGTTATGACACAAAAGCCTATTTGACCATTAATTTAAATAAAATATGATAGAAAAAGATACCAATTAGACACTTAGTGTTCCAACTTATACTTCTTTTTATTCATCTCTTGTGCTATAAAGCCAGTAGACGATCTAATACATACCCACATAAGAGAAAAACTCAATTCAAGTTGAGAGGAAGGAGAATAAGGGAGTGGGAGTAAGGAGGAGATTAGTGTGCTCCCACTTAATGGGCACAATGTAAGGATATATGGCACACCTCTTGGGTTTGGGACACAACTACAAAAGCGACTCTACCTAACAAATGTAAACACTATAACCTAGTTGTTTGTACCCTCACATTAACTGGGAATTAAAAAAAAAAAAAGAAGTACAAATTAATTTAATCTATATTGTGAATTGACAGGCTTTTGTAGGGTGATTAGAAACCTACTCATATACAATAACAGATCATAGCTTTGACTTTTATATAAACATCAGGGACACAGATCCCTTTAATTTGGGAACTATATATAATCATAAAGATCATTAATTATATAAAAAAATTCAAGTTTAAGACTGTAACAAAGCTCAAACATACATGAAAAATTAAACATATAATGCAAAAGAAATAATAAAAAGCTCAGCTCTTTTTAAAAGTTATTAGACATTATTTTATAAGAATTTCAAAGGAAACGTTTTAGCTATTTAAAAGCCCTTCACAAGTTTACAAATTATAACAAGATAATTCTACTAAAAAGTAGTTCCTCTACCCAAAAATTATTTCCAAAATTATTTTGCTATTTGAAAGCAATTATTAAACTTACCAATAAACTGTAGGCAATCTTTGTGAATAATATTCTGTTCTGGCAGGTCTAAAATACCATCCCATGATGCCAAACTATCACCTTTTCCTGCAACATTCAGAGCAATCTACAAGGAAGATTTAAAAAGCAACTAGCTTTATATGTCATTTCTCATTCTTGGAAAATATGCTGTAACAATTAAAGACTTGAGTTTAGGAACAATAACAAAGATTACAAATTAAGATACTTCACAAATGCTGAGCCCTTAGTCATATCACAATGAATCAACTAAATTATTTTAAATCATTTTCCATTAGATATTAACTACTTCATGCTGTTTAGTGAATAAAATGAATTATATAAAACATTTATCTATTTGCCTATATAAATTTATTTCAAGAAATCATCTTTTTTTTTTT